TCCTTCCTTCCTTCCTTCCTTCCTTCCTTCCTTCCAGGGTGACTCAGCCTTCCATCCTTCCGAGGTGGGTGAAATGAGGACCCAGACTGTGGGGGGCGATATGCTGACTCTGTAAACCGCTTAGAGAGGGCTGAAAGCCCTATGAAGCGGTATATAAGTCTAAATGCTATTGCTATATTGGTCCAACCCAGTTACTAATTTCTGTATTTGTAGTTTTTGTTTTATTTCATTTCCAGAGAGGTTTCAAAATTGGGATCAACGTGACACGTATTTTTGTGCAAATCGTTACGTTACACAAAAGTTCAAACACCCAAGTTTGAAAGGTTGTGTAACACATTAATTTTACAACTTTACCTAACATCAATGGGATTATATTTGAAGGCCTGCTCAGTAATATAGCAATTCTTGTTGCCAAGGAGCAGGAAGTATGTAATTAAAGGAGGGTTTGAATGTTGCAATTAAGATAAAATTCGGTCATATATTTTGAAAATGGTAGCAGCCATCGAAACTTTTCTCACCATAACACAAACCTGGAGTTGAGAAGAATATGTGTAAGCAGGAGTTTCTGTCCATCTTGGGATGAACATCAGTGGTAGGAGAAGGTTAGAAGAGCAGGGAACAGAAGTACTACCTCAAACAAAGGTGACTCAGGAATCACAGTGGGTGGAGGGACAGGGAGAAGGGGAGAAATGTCAATTTCTGCAATTGCTGCCTTTTCAGAGCAAGTTGGATTTTCTTCTCCCTCCCCTTCTCCCTCCTATAATCTCTGAATAATTCATAAAGATCAGACGCAGAAGCACCACATTCTAGTGCTGACAGATGCAGCAAGCATTTTGAAATGCTCAAAAGAAGGTGCCACATCTTCAGAAGACACGTCCTAGGATTTCTGCTACTCCTTTTCCTTCTTTGAGGAATGCTCTACATTTTCCTGTCTTAGGATACTCATTGCTACCTTAGAAGGTTCCGGGCATCTAGAAGGGGATCTATACGTATTGTATTATTTTTCGCTCTGGCTTTATTTATTTTTAATGTTTTGCTTATTCACGACTGCCACACTTTTACACGCCACCTTTCGGGATCTCATCACTAGTTCAAACAACACTACATCTTCCTCACTTTATTTTCTGAATCCCATCTGTGCTTTTTTTATTTGATTTTTGCTTATAGCTGACACTGAATCTGGAATGATCTGGAAGTTTTATGGATTTCCGTGGGATCCAGTTTGTCTGACTCTCTTAGATATTATCTGCATTCTTGGGGGTGCCTTCGACTTTTCCAACGATCCTATCTTTGGCTGTCTGTTGTCTGTAGTCCCGTAGACGTGTCTTAATTTCTGAAAGACTTTTATCACTTCTAGAATCAAGGAGATTCTATAAGTTTGTTTGGACATTTGAGAAAGTTTAACTTGTGTGCAACAAGATGGCCAACACTTCTTCCTGGAGCTCCAGACCCCTTCAACTGTTCCTTTGCCTTGAAGACTCTCTAGGAATTAGGCTGCCTTTGTCTCTACTCTATTTGTTGTTGGCTATCTCTGGAACTTTATCCAACTTCATGGTTATTTATATGGTCTTCACTTCCAGAAAGCTGCGTATCACCAGCAATGCTTTCATTGTGAATGGTTGTATCGCTGACTTGAGTGTGTGTGGTTTTTGGATGCCACAAGAAGTAATGCAGGGATTGCTAACTTCTGGTTCCCCTACAGCTCATTCAGGAAGTTACCGCTTATTTCAAGTTAGTCTTGTTGCTCTTGGGCTGGTTGTTTCATTACTTTCCCACCTCTTGGTGGCCCTCAACCGGTACATGCTTATTACCAAACCACACATCGTATACCAGGCTGTTTATCAGAGGAAGCATACTACTTGGATGATATGTTTGACCTGGATATTTGCTCTTCTCCTTGCCTTGGTCCCACCAGGACTGGAAACCTGGCAACCGATCCAGCAAGAGTCAAAAAATGCCACCAGTAACAATAGCTCTAACTATGCAAGTCTTGGAGTAGCCCTTGCTGTTCTCAGCCATACAGTCCTCCTGCTCCATTGCTACATGAGGATCGTGAAGCATGTTCAAGGCAGTGTCAAACGGGTCAGTGTCCTTGATTTCCATCTGCTGCAACAGCTGCCCTTTCTCCATACTTCTGGCCAAGCTCCCCGTCGGCCCCAGCGCCATTTGAGCATCATCTCTGTGTTGCTCCTGTGTCTGACATTCCTCCTGGCAACCCAACCGTTGATGTGGGTAAGCCTCCTGAGCTTTTTCTTTCAGCCTGCCCCCCGGGGGCTGCAGTTATCCAGCTGGCTCCTTCTCTGTTCTCTCTCTGCCTTCAACCCACTGCTCTATACTTGGAAGAATGAAGAATTCCGGCGTTGCTTGCGCCTAATACTACATGGAAGAGAAAGCATAACTGTAGCAGTAGCTGCAGTAGAAGCCTCTACAACTCTTCCAACAGTTTCTCCTCCAACCTGAGGGCTCTTACAGGTCAGCACCAAGTTAGAAAGCCCAGGGAGCTTAAAACTTCAAACTGATCACCTATAGCACACCTGGATGAAAGAGTACGTATAGAAAGAAACAGATAGAGAGTTGCACTTGGAAATTACTCGTTGAAATGAAGTCTTCAACTCCTTAAGAAGAAGCTTTTTTATTGCTCCTTTAGATAGGCTAAAGGAGCACTGCGGGGGGGGGGGGGAACGTATATATTTGTAAAAAAAGTACATTACTGTGTGCAATTTTACAGGAGCTCGCTCATTGCACACAAGCTAAGACAAGCATCATGTACAACGCAAATTGCTTATAAATGTATTAACTATAAAGCGAGTGTGGGGTTTGGGTTCTATGTTTCTGTGCATGTGTGTTTTGTTTTAGTAGATGGAAAATATTTGCATTCCTTTCTTGGTTAACAATCCTCCAAAGGACTAATGTGAAACAAAGGAATTGCCCTTGCATGGAGATATTGCTCATAGACAATAATGAAGAGGATCCAGAGATGAATATCTAGTGTCCTATATCTAGTACTGTATCTAGTGTTCTATCTAGTGTACTATATCTATTGTCCTCCACATAGTGTCCTAGCAAAAGAAAGAAGAAAGAAAGAAAGAAAGAAAGAAAGAAAGAAAGAAAGAAAGACAGACAGACAGACAAACAACACAAGTTGTAGGTCCTTGAACACAAGCTTCTTTCTGCCCTGAAAATATGCATGATAAGAGTTGGATGGTGTAAAATCCTGGATATTTTCATGGCTAATAACAAAGTAGTCTTGATTCTCAGCACAGTACCTATCCTTGTAATAAGTTAAAAGGATGAGTGACAGAGGAAGCTGAGATGGCACATGTAGTATCACACAGACTTGGGGAAGTGGCTGCCTTAATATTGCTGAGTTACATTTTTAGGTATCTCTCTTCATGGTCTGTGGCAGTGGTGGGTTTCAAAAATTGTTGGAACCTACTCTGTGGGTGTGGCCTCCTTTGTGGGTGTGGCTTGC